CAATACCCAACATCATGGTTTATGATTAATAACAAAAACAAAAAACCTCCGCCCTTCTGTCTAGTGGCATTTTGAATCTTTATGCCACGGTTTTGCAGCCCGGTCAAGAGGATTTCATGGAAAATTGGGATACTCTCCATGACCACAGCTAAATGAATAATGTATAAGCAGCCAGTCTTGTGGGTTTTGAAAAGATTATTCTTAACTTCTTTTTCCTCCATTTGGGGACTTTCTACCAGTATGACTGTTACCTTATTTAAAAAGTAGTACCCAAATGCTTTATTTTAAATAGATTTACATTAAAAGCATAATTTTTTTTAGATTCTTTAGGGTTTGTGTAAGTTTCTAAGTTAGCTTCTGGTTGTATTTCATCTCTTTCACCTGTATTTTATTCGATGTTTGTCTAAAGAAAGAAAAGAGGAAATCAAGTATGAATTGTGCTATTTGTACTATATCTTGGGGGTTTTTTTTGGTAAATTTATTTCGGGGTTGGGTATTAGAAAAAAATTGTGTCTTAGGCTGAAGGTCTAAGTGACTAATACATTTGACCTAATCATGGTGGTTTGTTCACTCTTTCAAATTAATTGGCTTTGAAAACAAAGGAAGAACATCTCTCCTCCTTCCCACCAGTAAATGTGCCTGCTGGACTCCAGCTGGGGCAGTATGCTATTATACTACCCCTGTGTTCTGGCGCTGGGTTTGTTCCTTTCTTTTATCCACCAAAGTGGAAACAAACAACTGCATGATTCCAAAGACATCCCAGTTAATTCCATCTGATGGGAGACCAGAAACTTTGTAAATCAATGTTCTGATATTAATGCAAAGAGAAAAAGGACCTAGGAAAAAATACTCACCTCTTTTAGCTTCCCTTTTTCTATATAAGGCAGAATGACACCACTCCAGCATTCCTAAGTGGTTTTGGCATTACCCCTATGACTGTTAGTGAATGTATAAGAACTTTATAGTGAAACTCAGGCAAGGCACCATATCATAAGGAGAAATTAATAGGTAATAATTAATTTTTATGTAAAATTGAAATAGGTTCTTGAAAGAAAATTAATTCCTACAATAAATATACTTAATATTAAGATTTTGGGGGGGAAAACAAACCTCAGTGGTTCCCCTTCTTTATACACCCTGTTAGTGTGATTATAATTTTCTCTTCTCCCATTTTTTTTTCTGCAAAGCTTGAGTTCATCACTCCCTAAAGCAAGTGCCTGGGGCAAATTATATACTTTTTCAATTAGCAAGACATCAGAAGAGATTTCAAGAGCTTGGGGAAGGGGCTGCATCTCTTACTGAAAAGGATTATTAAAGAGAGACTCCAGAGACAGAATGGCTAAATAACTTCAGAATCTGGAAAACATGTGATTCACAAGGAAGCCATCCTCCCCCAAACCTCTTCACCCCACAATAGGCTTAGGGGAGCATTCATCCTGCCATTTCTCTATAACCCCCACTTCTAAACAAGGACGTGTTTTTTTTATCTACCATATGATAACAAAAAGCTAGATATTTAGAGGAGGGACAGCACCTAGTAGGTTGTATTGGCTGTATGGCTTTGAAAGTAATATCTGAATTATTGAGTAAAGAACTACATTGAATTTCATTAGATTCCAGTGTGTATTAGCCTATGGAAATCCTGGTGGGGATAGATTTGTATAATAGTGTAGGATCTCTACTTCTAACAGGCTTCAAACAGGCAAGAACACACACCCCCACTGGCCTTCTTTCTATAGGTTTCCCTTTCTTAATCTCTAAAGAGAGGGGCCAGAAAGAGGAGAGGAACTGTCGAGGCTAAATTGCTTTCATGATTTACTTTGATTTTTCTTTATCATAAATTTAGAATTTCTTTATCTAAATTCTGTATATCCGAATGGAATATAATCTATTCCATCTTACATTATTCATTTCAAATTGTATTCCATGATAATAATTTTATTTCTTATTTTTCAAGTTCTCAAAAGATGTCTTTCTGTTTTCCTCCTCCAATAGTGTATTTGAGGTAAGGTCAGAAGTATTTTCCGTTTATATATAGTTACTAAATAGCTTTTCCTGATGGCTGCCCTAGAAATATTCAGTACATAGAAGCCTTAGATTTACTGTGACCAAGCCCACAAGCTGGAGAAGGTGTAAAAGTGAAGGCAATGTAGAGATCCTAGTTCCATTTTTAAAGATTTATTTTGAAAAATCTCCATCCAGTGAACAAATGTTTCTTGAGATAACATATAGATTAGGATTAACTCAAACGTTACTATCTAATTTTATTATTCAACTTGATGGTAAGAGGCAAAGAGATATAAATAGATGCCATCAGGCAAACAAGATGCAGAAGCAAAGACATCACACAGCATTTTGTCAGATATATACTTTTTGGATACGTATGGTTTGAATTTGATTATTTGTTTTAACAACCTACCAATAAATATTTTCCAGAGTGATGAAACAACTCTTTTATGTCTCACTTTACATTCTCACAAAACACACCCAGGTAACTATCATTTAATCGCAATTTCAAGAGTTTTGACTCACCCTGTATGACGCAGGAGTAGTAACCAACATATATGCCACAAAGCCCCAACCTTGTTTCACTCTGTCTGGGCACTAAAATCATCAAGGTCATGTGTGGAAGCAAGGCACTAAGTCTCTGCTCTTTTGCAATTTCCCTGTTTCAGAACATGTCTGAAGCAACGTGTGGCTTGGTGGTTGAATCATGATGCGAATTTCGTATGCTCAGTACTAAGTTTCTACCTCACTTCTATTCTGTCTATGTGATCCATATCTTGGAGGACTCAAAATTCCATGAAATAAATAATTGACAAAAACAGTTTCTGCCTTGTCACCTGAGAATTTTTGATGATCAAGGAGTTAAATACAGATCATAATAGGACCTCAAATGCCGTGCTTTTTTAATCTCTGGGAAGCATCACTTTTGAGTAGAAAATTAGAAAATTGCTTCTCTCATCTGTAATTCTGAAGTAAAAGATTTTGGCTTTATTCGTATTTTAAATATTCTTTGTAGTACTAATGATGATAAAATGACTAGATATCAGTTAAAGTCTCTGTTCTTTAGCTGTCATTGTAAGAGTATGATCTATAGCAAACATTACCCCAAATATAGCTATTTGAAAGCTCATGACTGTTCAAGATCCACAAACATTTCTTGATATAAAATGTTAATTAAATGATGTCATATGTATGATATGTATGTTATTTATGGGTATTTCCTTTTATCCTCACCAAAACCCTCACATGTAATAAATGCATTAACATTCCCGTATTATTGATTGTTCACTCACATTTGGATTAAATTGTTACCCACAGAGAAAGAAATGAGGACACAGAGAGTACAGATATTTCAGTCAACAAATATATTTCTTCATGAGTTTCAATTTCTGAAGATGAAATAAAACATATACTTATGACACTGATTTAGCTTCAACCCAAACAGAAAGTTTGAAAGAAAGCATACTTCTAGGTAATTACCCAACCTCAAAGTCCTGTGAGTTTTCGGTGTTAACCTTTGTGTCATTACTTGGTGAATACCAGCCTTAGAATTCTTGAAAATATAATTCTGCTCTTGATCTCTCCTAGAAGCATATTAACCATAATCTTGACACATGTATTTCTTCAGTTCTATTATATAACAAAAATAATATTTTAGCTAGTCAAGAGGCCCAATGTACTGTAAGACAGCACACGATAGACAGTTCAATATTTTTTACACAAATTAGTGAAATTTGAACACTGGAACTGGGCGTGGGGGGTACTGGGTGATAGAGGCGGTTGATTTGGTATATAGAGAAGCTGCTCTTTGAGAACGTGGCCCCACTGCTCTTCAGCCCAGGGCTTTTAGAAACCAAAATCTAGGTTGATTTCCATAGCAGGCCTGTTTTAATAGAACTGGAGTCTCAGACATTAAAGACCGGTCTCCCTTTTGTGAAACCCTAATTACCAAGAAAGCTTGAACTTCTTGCTTTTAATTCCTGGATATCTTTGTTTCGACATAATAAAAAAGCTAAAACCTTTAGTTTGATGCGGAAAGTCTTTCCAAGCCATGCTAGCTCTATTCCAGACCTATTAAATAGGTACTCTGGATGCTTCATCTGAAGGTACCGTTGATCCACTGGGTCATCCCTGGAGTAGTAATAATCAGGGTATGGTACTGCTGTTTGTGGCAGAAGGACATCCGGTTAATTGAGGGCTATGCTTGATTGATTTCCATGTTAATCAGGACTTTACAACATAGTAATATAAGTAACACTATTTATAACTATTTACTTCTGGAGTCGAATTCTCATTTTATATAAATTTTGTTTATACCCTATTTTTAAAAACATGATACATGCATTAACTAGGACTACTATTTTATTTACTTATTTGTTTGTTTTTAAATGTTTAATTTATTTATTTTTAGAGAGAGAAGAAGGGAAGGAGAAAGAGAGGGAGAGAAACATCAATGTCTGGTTGCTTCTCACATGCCCCCCATTGGGGACCTGGCTAGCAACCCAGGCATGTGCTCTGACTGGGAATTGAACCAGTGACCCTTTGGTTCACAGCCTGTGCTCAATCCATTAAGCTACACCAGCCAAGGCAGCACTACCACTTTATAAAGTCTAGTTTATTTAATCTTCTAACAAAATTTACTTAGAAATGTCAAATTGCCTACTCTGAGTATTCTCTTAATTTTGTTTTAAACTGAAAAGCCCACACCTTAAATTTTATTATTGGTTCAGATGTTTTCCTCCCTCTACCCATAGAAACTGTTATAATTTTTTATTTTTATATAAACTAAAAAATGAATTTTACTTTGGACTACTTATAGTTCTTAGGATAACTGCAGGCATGTCAAAGTGTAAAATTTAGAAATTTACCTCACAGAATATAGAAGAAACCGAACATTAAAGAGTTACCAAAGAATGACTATAAAAAAAGGCAACAACTTTACCCATGTAAATGTGAAGTCATATCCTGACCAAATGAGGAAGTGGCAGGTCCCAGGCCTCAGGCTCACTTACCGAAGACTCACATAGACAGCACACTGCCGACTGCCTTCAGTTGCTTCTGTAAGGACAGAGAGTGCACTCAGAGTCTGAATTCAAAATGCTGAAGAGAAAACCATCCAATGTTTCAGAGAAGGAGAAGCATCAAAAGCCAAAGGTAAGGCAACTTTATACATAGTCAAACAAAACTAAACCATGTAATAGAATACACACATGCACAGTTCTTTTCTGTCAATCATAAATAAATTCAATCACAGGGCTGAATGCCTCATGGCAAATATGGAAAAAAATAATTGCAAAGTTTGACATTAAATATTACCTGACAATTATTGTCTTTGTAATGTTATCTTATAGTTCATATTTGATCATTTACATCTTTAAGTAAACTTGGAGCTCAGATTACCAACTTCATGGAAGTCAACTTGGTGGCTTTTCTGTAAAAGACAGATCATAAAATATTCTTGCACATTTTAATGCCACTAAAGTTGTCAATGTCTACTTAACAATATACTGAATGCATTTCATTGCTTAAGTGCTCAGTTTCTCACAACATGTTTAATTATGAGAAGGTTTTAAAATAGATATTTTGGTTAAATATTTGATTGTTTTTATTTTTAACATTAACATATGAAAGCTTGTTGTAGATATTATTTTTTATATTTTCTTTTCAACTGAAGAGGGAGTTGTGTTGTGTTTTGGGATACATCAAAACCCCATACATTAGTAAATTTGTCAAATCGGTTCTGTTTGGCATGTTGTTTTATTCTTTGTCTTGACCATAATTGACACTTAAAAAAATAAGGCATGAGATACCAAAGTTTAAATTCTATTGTAGATATCTAAATTAGTTATTAATTTATGAAGTACTGGTGGAGAAACTTTTTCTAATACTTGTACATGTTTTGAGTTTCTATGTAATTAACATTTTAAATCTGTTTGTGAATAAATAATAGCTGAGTTAAAATGTCTTTTGAAAGGACTGATATATTACCATAATGGCTTTTATATGCGTGGCACCCATTCTGAGAGAAAGGAGTTGGGAACTGATTGTGAACTTTCCTACTGATGTGGCAGCAAACAATAGTCAGTATTTTAACACTTCTTGCAAGTTACACACAGCATCTCTGAAAGAGACAAAATAAATGATTTCCAATCTTTGGAAACTAAGAATAAATTATTTCTATATTAATTCTTTCTGACACAAAGACCTGATAGAGGACAGACAAGCAAGTACCTTTACTGAAAAATACAGCTGGAAAACACATCATGGCTTCTGTCTTTTCCCCCTAAGTAATAAAAATTCAAGGTAACATTTTTTCAAAGAGTACAAAGCAGTTTCTAAAAGCTTCACTTACTTTTCTATTCAATATTAATTTTATATGAAATTTACTTGATTAAATGCAATAATATTGAGTTTATAATAGTAAATTTAGGAAGATCATAAAGTTAATATGAAGTGGTGGTTTTCCTCCAAGTATTTAAAATCTAAGGTTAGAATATCTCATAAAAACTATATTATGCAGTGAATTACTATGTCATTAAACTGTTTTCAAAAAGATATTTCAGTCTATTATCACCTGCCTTAATTCCAGGAACTATTGTAATACATGTGGAGTATTGTTCATCTTATTGACTTCCTTATTCAGAAAAACAAAAAAAATTGATAAAATACACAACTGAGAACACAATATATCACAGAATATAGTTGCTTTGGAAACATTAACTTTTGTTGTAAATGAACTCCCATTTTCTGGAGAGATGGCTTTATTCTATATACATTTTTTAATTTTATTTATTTTACAATTACAGTTAATGTACAATATTCTATTAGTTGTAGATGTGCAACATTGTTACACATTTATATATCTTATAAAATGATCACCCCAGTAAGCTTGGTACCATCTGACACCACAGAGAGTTATTACAATCTTATTTACCATATTCCCATGCTGTGTTTACATCAGTGCGACCATTTTCATTACTGCAACTTGTACTTTTAGTCCCTTTCACCTTTTTCACGCATATTTCCCTGTCCATTCCTTCTAGTGACTGTCTATTCGTTCTCTGTATCTATGAGTCTATTTCTGTTTTGTTTGTTCATTTATTTTGTTTTTTAGATTTCACATATAAGTGAAATCATATGGTATTTTCTGACTTATTTCATTTAGAAAAATACCCTTTAAGTCTGCTCATGTTGTCAAAAATGATAACATTTCATTCTTTCTATGGTTGAGTAATACTCTATTGTATGTACGTACCACATATTCTTTCTCCATTCTGTGTCAATTTAAAGAGTTTTGTTATTGTATATAAACAAGTACTTTTTTCATATATTCCAGATCAGCTAAATCCTTTCCTTTTAATATGGAGGTAATAAGTTTCACAATTATTATACTGTAATTCTGCCCTAGAAACATTTAGTTTACCAGGTAATTTTCTTAATGCATTTTATGGAAAAAGACGAGAATCCATAAGAGATGTCACAGATGGATGTCATGATAATCCTACAAATACGTGGGTAGTAAAATGAAGAGTGCAAATTCCTTCATCTACCAGAAGGGAGCATAAGGCCTGTGTCTAGAAAGACAAAACAGAACCATCAAGAAAACAGTCTTCAATATAGAGAATCACTGTTACTACACTGATTAACCACACACCAGATCAGTGATCGCACCTTTTAACTCAGACATACACTCCCTGTGCTAAACTAATTCAGAATTTTTGAGAGAGATTTTCTTGTGCTTTATTGAAAATACTAAGGTAGGCAATGAGCAACATTAAAAATGAGGAAACTATTATTTAACCACCTAGTTCATGTTAATTACTGTGGGTTTTATTTCAGGTGACCTAGCATCCAATTCAAATGGTGAAATACATATAATACCTAATGTAATATCCCAAATAAAAATTATGAAAGACTTTGTTATTAGTATTTTAAAATAATTCTTTTAAGATTATTTATTTATTTTTAGAGAGAGGAGAAGGGAGGGAGAAAGAGAAGAAGAGAAACATCAATGTGTGATTGCCTCACACACACCCCCTACAGGAGACCTGGCCTGCACTCCAGGCAGGTGCCCTGACTGGGGATTGAACTCTTTGGTTCATGAGCCAGCACTCAATTCACTGAGCAACACCAGCCAGGGCAGTATTTAAAAATAATTCTTACAGCTGTGAGAAGAATTAAAAACAATTATGAATATAAAATGTAGCAGTAGACTGTACATGTCCTGTATTTCAAACAATTCATTACTTTCTTATGTTCATAAGATTTATTGATAAACATGTCCATGAATCAAAATAAGAATTCAAAATGCATGTTAAAATACAGCTTTATCATGTACAATTTTATCACCAATGTGTTCTCTTTTCTACTCTTTATTCTTGTTTCTCTATTTTTGGTTTGGGCTCTTTCTTCCAAATAGCTCATAAATAAGGCCAACAGTATTCATATTTATTATAAGATATTCACAGTGTAGGTTCTGAAGGAAAGACCAGAAATATTTTGTAAGGGAAACTGGAAAAGCCTTGGGACATTATGACAAGAGAAACCACTAGGAATGCTGGAATGTTAATAAATTCCAACAAGTTCAGTTTGTGTCTCAGAAGTCTCTATAGTGTGTAGATACATTCCAAATTAAGAAAGAAATTTGATAAATAGGTTGTTAACTATTCTATATTTAGTTGATCAAAAATAGCCTTGGTTAATATACAGGCAAGGTACTATACCCTACATTCCTTCTTCAGTTTTGTTTTTACCTTCTTATCATGAGTGCCCACTACTGATTATGACTTTTTAAAAATTTAACCATATCCAGGATCCATATTTGATAAGATATATCACTATGCTTTATAAATGCTTACATTACAGAACATAATTTTCTTAACTGCTTTTCCAACTAAAAGGTTTTATTTTTTGTTTTCCATATTTATTATGTTTATTACATACCAGTACTGTGTTCAGATTTTTTTGTACACTAATCAATTTAATATTTGTAACAACTCTATAAGGGAGTCATTCTTATTTACCCTGAGAGATGAGAAGTCATGGGGGAGGTGAATTAATTTGAACAAAAACACATAGGTAAATGATAAAACTATATGATATAAATACATATGTCAATTTCCAATACTCCTGTCCTTAAATATTACACTACCATTACAAGCATAGGTACTATAGAAATCATTTCTATTTGTCTTAATTACCAGCTAAACTTTAAGGAAACTAGACAGAACATATTTTTAAGAGCCTTTGTATAAGTTGGAGAAGAATTTAGAGATCCTCCACTCTTGTCTCTGATTAAATGCCAGAATTTCACCTGCAAAATCCCTTCAGGTGTTCACACAAGATTCAATACTTATCGTAAAAAAATAATAAGAATTTCCTTAATATTCAAATAGTTAAAGAAAAATTATGACCTAATAGTGAGGTAAGAGTAACCATGTATCTCCTTCCCACACCTGGAGTAATACTTTCAATGTAATAGGTTCTTAATATATATCTGTAAACCGAATCAAACTTCTTGAGTCTACTGTATGTAGCCTAGTTCAAGTACGAATGCTCACTATGTTATGCCCTCTTATTATTCTTGGTAGCAAGTCTATTAGTATGTACCTAAGAAAGTTTGTATGTGTATGTATAAATATAAATTTCATTTTTAAGTTTCATTTTAAAAAGAACACCTATACCTCAAACGTTGTGCAAAATCCCCTGGAGAGGCCTCTTGTTACATAATCGTAGACCTTTGTTGCAGTTCAGGGAGTATGTTAGAAACTTCAAAAATAGAAAAGGAGTAGATCGCACAAATAAAAATTCTGCAGCTGAATCAACTGGCCTTTTTTGGCTGGGTTAATGATATGTATTGATAATTTTAACTGAGGTTTTTCTTTAAGTAAAAGAGATTCAAATACTGCTGTTATTTAAAGGAGAACATGAAGTGATGGCAGTTCTGGAAATAAAAACCTTTTTTTTACCATTTTAAAAAATCTACAGTGCATAGTAAATGAGACACCATTAGTGTCACAGATGCTAATTTTCACGAGCAATGACTGAAGTGGCATTCCTTCCTGCTTGCATTTGATCCTAGCAATGGTAAGAGGTGACGAGTTGATTATGAGCTGTTTTCACTGCACTGCCCGCTGTGCAAATTTATGCTTTAG